GGGGGGGGGGGGGGGGGGGGGGGGGGGCTGGAGTGGCAGGTGCCTTCGGGGCCCGGCCCGGTGGTGACCATCGCAGCACCTATGCTTGATGTGATCATGTCACCGGAAGCTCTAGCAACTCAAGAAACGGAATCCACACTATTAATAGGACAAGTGTCGGCGGGTGAAATGCTTGTTGCGTACTAATATGGTGCTCATCTTTGCTATCAGGAGCGTAAGAACATCCAACATATCATGTTCTGAACTACTGCGCCTGGATCGGGGCAGCAGTCGAAAAAAAAAGCCTCCCAGAAACGACTCGAACCTGCCGCCCATCGCAGCAAACGCCAAAAGCGTACGGCAAGTCGACGAAAAAACACGGTCAGCACGCATCGCTGATTGAAACCGAGAATCACGACAGACTTCTCAAGATTAACCGGGCTGAGAACCCACCTCGACAGAGTACTTATCCGAAATGACGCCCCCTAGGAACGACGAGAGGAGGCCCCCGCCCGCCACGACGAACGCGTTGAGGACGGCGTACTCCGAAGAGTTGGACGGGAAACGCCCTCGGAAGAAGGGGGCACACCACACCCCGATGCCGAAGCCAGCGCAGAACCGGAAGGCCGTTGCCAGGAACACCTGAGGAGGATGGGCATATGCGGGGGAGTCGGGGTTGTCATCGCTTTATTGGATAAAGGCGTAACCATTAGACTAATACTCAATCCGTACCCTTTAGACACTTAAGACTACTCAGGAAGCTTAGTGAGTAGTCGATGGCCACCCTTTATCTTCAAAAAAAGTGCGCCGATTTCGTTCACCGCGGCATACGGCTGAAACCGCCTGCACGCGCCAATTAGAGCAGGTGATACCTTCTCCGCAACAAAATACTCCGCGGACAGCGCGTGGAAAGGTTTACGCCAGCAGCAAAACAGCTACGTCGTCTCGGTACGAGAGCGGCCAGCGCGCAAAAAATACCGCTGATGTTGTTGGTCCAACACCTTGCATACACAGCAGCCGGAACAGCTCCAACAAAAACCGCAAAAAGAGACCGACGGAGACGGGTGTCGGATGCGATCAGCGTGTACGACGCGCTTACGCACCAGCCTGACCGTGTTGGACTTGAAAACGATACCCAGGGCCTCCTGAAACGATTCCCTCTCTTCCGACTCCTCTCCCGCACCGCCGCCACCCTTGTCGCCGCTCTTAGCGGCGGTGTTGTCCCCCGCGCCGGCGCCGGGTTCACCGGCAGTGGGGAACTCCCTCGTCGGCTCCTGGATGAGGAGGGCCGACAGGACAGCGACGGCCACGCCTACGGCCGCCACCACGAGGTGGCTGTCGCGCCACCCGATCGCGCCTTGTCGCGTATATTTCGCAAGTGCGGGCGCAGGGTGTGTGTGTGTGTGTGTGTACTCATAGTCGTGCATGCCGTAGTCGTTTGACCATTGACCCTTTCCATCCCTACAAAGCCGGGACGGAGCACGCCGGGTTCTCACCGGACCAGGCTCTCACATGACCAAGCGCGAAGCGCCGTGAGGTATTTGGCGAGTCGCATGAAGGGTGAGCTGCATCCTGCTAAGGGTGTTCGGCATCTTGTGCTTACTTCCTTGCGTACGGATGACAGCTACGTATGACTTAATTTATTTTCTGGTGCTTTAACTTCCAGAGACAGTTGTAAGCACTGTGTAACTGCCTCGAGGATGTTTGACCAATTTAACACAACGTGGTGCGATCATCCCCCTTGAGCGGAGTGAGGGTTCTCGACCCCGCACAACATGATCTACTCGACCACCATTATGGTTACCGCCAAAAAAAAACACCGAGGTAAAAAAAAAAAACGGTAACCTGGTTACGAGTTCACGAAGTGAATTGGCTTGTTTTACAACGTCGTTGCCAAGCGACGAAAACCCAACCCCGATGGCAAACACCGGGGGGCGGGGGGGGAGGGGGTGCACTCATAGTCGTGCATGCCGTAGTCGTTTGACCATTGACCTCGCATCCCTACAAAGCCGGGACGGAGCACGCCGGGTTCTCACCGGACCAGGCTCTCACATGACCAAGCGCGAAGCGCCGTGAGGTATTTGGCGAGTCGCATGAAGGGTGAGCTGCATCCTGCTAAGGGTGTTCGGCATCTTGTGCTTACTTCCTTGCGTACGGATGACAGCTACGTATGACTTAATTTATTTTCTGGTGCTTTCACTTCCAGAGACAGTTGTAAGCACTGTGTAACTGCCTCGAGGGTGCTTGACCATTTTAACACAACGTGGTGCGATCATCCCCCGTTGCGCGGAGTGAGGGTCCTCCACCCCGCACAACATGATCTACTCGACCACCATTATGGTTACCGCCAAAAAAAAAAAAACGAGGTAAAAAAAAAAAAAAACGGTAACCTGGTTGCCGAGTTCACGAAGTGAATTGGCTTGTTTTACAACGTCGTTGCCAAGCGACGAAAACCCAATCCCGATGGCAAACACCGAGCGGGGGGCTCGTTTTACAACGTCGTTGCCAAGCGACGAAAACCCAACCCCGATGGTAAACACCGGGGGGGGCGGCTTGTTTTACAACGTCGTTGCCAAGCGACGAAAACCCAAACCCCGATGGCAAACAAGGCTGAGGGGGAGGGGGGGGGGGGGATTATATCACCGATCACCGTTCACGTTTCACGTCCATGACTAGATGATACTTTGGATGAAGTGCCTCTTCCTACTTGTACTTTATTCAGGCTAGCTTGTGGCCACGGAAATTTACTTCTTTTCCTTGAAGAGTAGAGTAGAAGAGACATTGGATACAGGTCGAACAGTGCTTAATGTGCAGACAACGACAACAACATGGCAGGAAAGCGCGGGACTACTTAGTGTCCAATGCTGGTTGTGGAGTGGGTACTAAATCGGTCAAGGGATGGGCTACTTTCGACGAAGAAGGCGTGAGTTTCATCGTGAAAATCCATGGACGGCGGCTAGTGAACCGGATCAAACGCCGCCAGTACGAAAAGGGTACTGGGGACCCAGACTGAATATACCGACCGACTCGCCGTGGACTTACCGTTGAGCAGCAAAGACAAGCTCGCCAACGCTCCCCCCAAGTACACCCCGGACGAGTAGATGGAGTTCGCTGTCCCTCGAACCGACGCCGGGAACAGATCGCTGATCATCGTGTAGGCCGCCGGAGTCTTGATTAGCACGATTTTTTTGGCGATTGTGAAGGGAGGAGGACCAACGCACAAGAGGTGTGAGGGAAAGGCGATCCCAAGGAGGGAGCAAGCAGCTGCTGTGGCACGCAGCAATCTGATTGGTCAAAGAGGACTTCGGTAGAAAAGAAATGCACCCGCCGACCGACAATCCTTCGGATGACGAGTGATGTTTCTTCCAAGGCCAGTTGGGAGGAAAAGCTTTCGGACACGGATGATGTCGTCGGCGGGGTTTTGATTGGGCGACCGCGGTCGGTCGTCATGTGGAGGCTTTTGGGTGGAATTCTTTCACACAAAGATTTCTGTTCTGTGGTGGGTCAACTACAAATGGGACAGCTGGTCGAAAAACACCCAGTGGCGAGCAGTAATTTTCTGGTTGGCTGATAAACAAACAATGGATTCGGGAGAGGGCGGAGTGATTGGTGTTTTACCTGGAAATAAAATAAAAAAAATGAAGAAATAATGTTATTAGGCAGACAGATTCCAATATCAGGAACAATTAAAGACGAAGCGTCATGCAGTTTTCTTACTGGCCGAAACAAAACGTCACGCATTCCCGAATTTCGTACGGCGAATCTCTATCTCTGTGTTTAGTCCGCGAGTAGCGTCACACACGCATAAATAACACCCGCTCACCTTAGCGTGGGTGAGTATGTGATCTGAAATTTGAGGGGCTCACGCGTGGGTGGGTAGAGCGCGGTAGACCCCGGGGGGATTCTAATATCGTTCCCGCACTAATGGTCAGATATAGCTCACTTTTCAACGGCGGGGCAGAGAGATTTCTGTCTATTCTGAGCCTAAAACTTTTGTGGGTGGTTGATCGGGTGGTTGATCGATGAACCAGGTGTCTTCGGAAAAGTGACATAAAATTGCCGCTTCTTGGGTGCATGTGTGAAGTGAGTAGCGGACAAACGGAAAATATTCATAATCCTATCCCGGACATGCACGACGTTTTTCATTCGACCAGTAAGAAAAGTACGTGACACAATTCCGAAAAGGTTGCCGTTCATATCGAACACGTTCGTGCTTCGGCAGAGGTAGATGGCACACACGCAGCAGCAGCGGTGACGCACGAGACGAGCAAACGAGTGTATGCAGATGTGACGGTCGAACGTACCGGCCGAGCACCAAGGTTTCCGCAAGGAGTCGAACGCGCAACACAATGGAATACAAAAAATTACTACCAACCATCACTTCGGGCCGGGAGACAACAAATAATGCGGTTGCACAAAAACGCGGACGATAAACGTTGGTGCCCGCCCGAGCACACTTCAAAAGAGCGCATACCGCATGCACCAAGATTGTTCGACAATACCCGCGAATAGCAGATACTCCCCACGAAATCGCACGCAAAAAGCGTCCAACCACCAGTGGTCTTTTCATTTGCAATGCGAGAATGCGGGCACGAAGCGGGCCTAAGAGCTCACCGTGAACCGACCCCAAAATGTGTCCAACCAACAGGTTCACACGCGAGTTGTTCCGCGGACACGGAAGCATGCCTAAGAGCTCACCGTGAACGCCTGGGCAGAGCCTTGCAGAACCCTGAGCCCGAAGACGGTGGGGAAGCCGTTCGCGATGGAGGTGCCCGCGGCCATGGCGGACCAGACTAGGCACGACGCCACGGTCGCCGTCTTGCGGCTGACGACGTCTACGGCGCGGCCGGCGATGAGGCTGCAGGTGCTGAAGAGCAGGGTGAAGCTGAAGGACGCCAGCAACCCTGTCGCCGTGGTTGTGTTGATCACACGCGCGCAGGGTCGTGTGACCAGGGAAGTAGAGGAACGCGCAAGGCATGTCGTTGACGTCACTGCTGTGCAAAGTGTAAGAGGCGGGGGGGTGCTGAAGAGCAGCATGCATGCTGAGGGGCAATACTCTGGCTCATGTGAAGGATCAATGTCGCCCGTACACGTCCCTCGGCTCCTATGGTCCGCACCATGCAAATGGCACAGACGCACTCAACAAACGACCACACGAGCGAACACTCGCTCGTCGTTTTTGCTGACTGTTGTGTCCGTTTGCCACGAATACGTGAAGCAGATTTGGAAGGTCCGAGAGGCTAGCGCAGCTCTCTCGGTCGCTTGCATATGTGTGAGCCGAGCCGTGCCGTGCCACCGCCCAGATAACACTGAAATGCAGGCCCGACCGCTTAGTGCTTCTGTATCATCCGTGGATGTTCAGGGAGAATATAAGCGCCCCACCTAGGGTACTGGGGCGCGTGACGGTCCCCCTGCAGCCTCTTGGATTGCTGTCGTTCCCATCTAGTGAAGAGGTCCTGCTTGCTATGTATTCCAAGGTGCTCCCTGCGAAAGAGTACAAGGCCGGCTCACCGTACTGAGTCTCGTCAAACCCGAGGCCGACGTTCATGAACTCCTTGGCGGTAGCTTCGGTCGTCGCCACGTCGAAGTTCTGCACGTCTGATGTGTTGACACCCGGTCCCATCATTCACCACCGCAGGAACAACCACAGCGTTTGCCACAGCGGTCACAGAGAGCCACAGCCACAGCCGCAAATGGCGAGTATCAGCAGAGTAGGCAACGCGACGAATAACGGAGGCAACTGAAGTCAGAAATAAAATAGGGTGGCTTCGGTCGCTGCCGGTACGCCACGTGGAAACTTGACGCGTCTGTCAGGGTGTGACGACAAGCTGTCTGGAGATCAAGCCATGGATAAAATACAAGGAGTAAGACCAACGGTATGTGCCTACGAGAGTCGTGCCACCATAAAGACGGAGACCCTTCGTACCCGTGGTGCGGAAGTGGCAAAAAAGCACTGCCCAGTGAGGCACTCTGCTGTAGTAGAATCAAGAGAGGGTAACGGTGCCGAATGCAGTTTAGTCGGAGACAAAACACCATGCAGGTGTTCTACTGTACATCAGAAATCATTCCACTTAGCCTAGCCTGGCGCTCACAGTAAACAAGACTCCTAGTCCACTGATTGCTGATGTAGACCAGTAGCAGCATCGCCAGGGACACCCAGGACACCCAGGGCACCTTAACCTTGCTGTCGCCCTCCACCCCGCCCTTTGATACTCCTTCCTTCGGTGACGAGGCGTTCCTCTTGTCTTGCGCCCCGGCGGGCCCCCCGTCGGTGCCTCCACCAGACATGCTCAATACACTGACACGGGCGGAAGACGACTCCAACCCTCCTCTTCGGGGAGCCGCACGGCCAGGTGTCAACGCGCTTCGGCGGCTCCAAGTGCTGCTGGAAGGGGCTACTGCTGCGCAATGTTGCGGATAGCGAAAGATGTGGTTGGTACCCGTGCGGCCGCCGACACCGCCAGCCTTGGTCGAGGGAGCCAAGGCCGCTGTTTTGGGGGAGGGGGTGACGATGCGATTGTCAGAGTCAGACCAGAGGGTACAGGATAGAGGAAGCGGCACGTGGACGCTCTGGGAGACAGCCGGAAATAGAGCGGAATACGATACAGACAGCCTGTTCGTATACTCTGTACAGTTCGTTGTCATTCGCGGGACTGTCAGCTTCCGACGTGAGACAACGCTGTGTAAACTTTCCTGTGATCCTGGGCGCTCTCTTCCTCTCTTCCTCTTCTCTGCTGCTGCTCTGTTCCTGCCAACAGGCGGTGTTCCTCACCGCGCACAAGAGCCTCCGAGCGACCGACCCAGAAAACCGTAGCCCAGGCTACGACCAAGGTCGTGCGCACGGGCAGCATCTCCCGACCCGTTGTGCTGGTTGCGTTGCTGTTGGTGTTTGAAGAAACGGCAACAACGGTGCACAAAGCGCCCCGGCGCAGCGCTAATTTGTATTTCTGTGTATCCTCCTGTATGCTACCAGCGGCAAGTCTGTCCCGGCCCTAGTGCAATACAGGCGACATGAACGGTGGGCCTTTCCTTCGGGCACGGACGTTGAATGGACTGCTGCTAACATGCGTGTTTTTTTTTTTTTCAAGATGCGGGGCAATCAAGCTTCTCTCCGATTTCCACGCCGCTTGTACAGCAGTACCCACTGCCATTGTACTGCTGCTGTACCCACACAGCAGTTTGCTTTCCGGCCGAGACACACACAGCAAACACCGCGTGTGTTTGCAGCGAAGAATATCATTAAGTTCGCGGGGCGATTCGCGGCGGCGCCGATTTTGAAGGGGCTGCTGTCCTCAAGGGGAGCCGATTACATTCCAATAACAGCAACTACAAGAACAACGATGATGACAGAAAGGATCTCCCCGCCTGCTACATCCAAACTTTTCATCAACAATCAGTGGCACGACGCGGGGTGAGTGGCGTATGGATGCTGTATAAGCAGTCGTGTCCAGGAGTGGTGCTTTCTTTCGCTGGCGTCGTTGCCGTTTTCTCCAGTCGTCGCGGGCCTCAGTTGTGGCGCATTTCTCCTTGCGCAAATCATGCTTGTCCCTTGCCCCCCCCCCATGACATGCCCCCACTAACATGGTAGCTGAGCGATCTGTTCGTGGTCCCGTGCCCGAACAACTGAATACAGCGGGGTGCACCCCGTAGTCACTTCAATTACAATATAGGTATTGGGTAGAGAGTCCCATGCCGCTACTCTTTCCTGATGGCTGTTCGGCACGAAGCATGCGTTGATTTCAAACGGGGGTGCTATAAGCGTGCGTGTTCTTTTCGTACCCCCGGTATATATAATAAAGTGGAGTCGTCCGACACCGCGAAGTCTCGTCTAGTGCGTTCAATGCAACCAAAACCCAATGCCCCTTATCGTCCTATGCATATGTAGCGTGATTCCTGCCTGGATGTGCAACACGACAAATGAACTCTCGATCGCCACAACGCACCAAGTACGAGGAGCTATGATGCGACTGTAAGGTACCACAGTGAACGAGGTACCCTGCTCCCATCCACAGCATGTACATGGGGCCAGGCTCCGCTTCTAGACCCGCAAGTTACTGCAGTACTCCATGTAAAGATAGTGTTCGACCAAATGCCAAGCGTTTAACGCGAAGGCGAAGAATTATTTGACGTGTACCTATCGCGAAGTAGCGTGAGAAGTGAGCACATCTTGCGGAAGACAGACTGCTGTGCCACAACGCATTTCTTCGGGTCTGCAGAACGTAGCAGACGCGAAAAGCGAGGAATCGTAAACAAGTGCGCGTGTTGTGTGCGTCCTCGGGCCGGGCCTTAAACCGGATTTGCACACCCAGACTTTGCACCCCAGACGAGGCTAGTCTGGAAAGTTCCACGTAACTCTTGGTGTATGTTTTTTCATTTGTGAACGGAACGATAGTCAGCGATTCCATCATAGAGTTGAGCTTGCTGGAGGTTCAGCTGGCAAAATACCGATGATCCGATCGGATGTATCCAAATCTGGGATGATTTGTGAAACCACGGATCGGACTGGATGGAACATGTTGGAGTTTTGCAACAGCACGAGACCACGACCTCTCTCCGCGACCCCGAAACCTCGCGAGCCGTCGAGGTCGGTTCTTGAATGTATGCCTCCCGCTGCAGCCCCGGCTCCTTCCTCGAATCTGCCGCAGCCAGTGCCCAACTGATCGGTGGTGTTTATGGCCTCTGCGGCCCCCATACAAGCGCTTCCCCATACTGCGCGTCCGGGGTGCCATGGGCGCCCCGCCGGCGCTCGATCTCGCGAGTGTCTTCTTCGCGTCTGGCAAGTGCTGCAAGGAGCTTCCGCGGCTCGAGCTCTCCCGGTTGGTTGGCCACGAAGGGCTAGCCCTCGCAGTGGTGCGGATTCTTGGCCCGTGGTTTCGGCGGCTTCCGAGCACAACGCGCATGCCCCCCACCGTTGCGGGTACGTACGTCTCGGGCAATCCGGGAGGTGGAGGCCACGCAACTCTTTGGTGCTGCACATCTTTGACCTTGGACTGTTTCCGCAACATGCTACCCAAATCGAAGCCCCGTGGAGGAGAACAGAAGTCGAAGGTCAAGGATGTGCGGCACCGAGAGCTGCGTGGCCCCGGAAAGCGCGAGACGTACCCGCAACGGTGGGGGGTACACGCGTTGTGCCCGGAGACCGCCACAACCTCGGGCCAAGAACCCGCACCACGGCGAGGGCACACCCTTCCTGACCAACCAACCGGAAAAGCTCGAGCGGCGGAAGCTCCTTGCAGCGTCGGGGGTATGACTTTCTGTTTTCCTTTTGGGATCGTAGGTCCTCCTCCCCCCCGAGTCTGGGCATTCGGTGGATTCAGTTTGGTTAAAAAGAAAGTTCGGGCATCCAAGAAGTGTAATCGGATCCGGATTGCACGGAGCTTTGCGCCTTCCGTGCAGCCTCGGAGAACATGACTGAAAAAGGGTCAACCCGTTCTAGATGGCTCTGAGAGGGGATGCATTGACCGGATAACGGATGGCCGCCAGGAAATAATCCGCGCATGGCCTCCCCCACCCCTTGCACCTACCAAGCGCAATCTTTTATCCCCCCCCCCCCCCCTCGGTGTTTGCCATCGGGGTTGGGTTTTCGTCGCTTGGCAACGACGTTGTAAAACAAGCCGCCCCCCCCGGTGTTTGCCATCGGGGTTTGGGTTTTCGTCGCTTGGCAACGACGTTGTAAAACAAGCCCCCCACTCGGTGTTTGCCATCGGGATTGGGTTTTCGTCGCTTGGCAACGACGTTGTAAAACAAGCCAATTCACTTCGTGAACTCGACAACCAGGTTACCGTTTTTTTTTTTTTACCTCGGGTTTTTTTTTGGCGGTAACCATAATGGTGGTCGAGTAGATCATGTTGTGCGGGGTCGAGAACCCTCACTCCGCGCAACGGGGGATGATCGCACCACGTTGTGTTAAAATGGTCAAGCTTCCTCGAGGCAGTTACACAGTGCTTACAACTGTCTCTGGAAGTGAAAGCACCAGAAAATAAATTAAGTCATACGTAGCTGTCATCCGTACGCAAGGAAGTAAGCACAAGATGCCGAACACCCTTAGCAGGATGCAGCTCACCCTTCATGCGACTCGCCAAATACCTCACGGCGCTTCGCGCTTGGTGATGTGAGAGCCTGGTCCGGTGAGAACCCGGCGTGCTCCGTCCCGGCTTTGTAGGGATGCGAGGTCAATGGTCAAACGACTACGGCATGCACGACTATGAGTACCCCCCCCCCCCCCCCCCTCGCGGAATGTCCGTGGTACGAAGAGGAAAGGGAAGTGTACATAACTGAGCTGGGAAAAATACAAGGGACGTATAGGGATGTTTGAGGCATGGAATAGAGAGGAGAGGATGGTAGCTGAACTGGGGAGTAGGAAGTGGTTTGAAAAGGCGGGAAGGGATATCGTTAGGATAGACAGACTAGGGAAGACATTTTTTAGCACCTTTGGCAAAGTAGGAAAGAACGATTGGCCATCGGTGATCGGTCCTGTGGGAACAATGCTCCGTCCTCTCGAGGACGCGTGGTCAATGGTCTAACCGCTAAGGCATGCAAAACATAAGAGTACGCCCCCCCCGCCCTCGTCATTCGTCCTTCACACTCTCAGTAGCGCTCATCGGCGTACCGTAGGCGACATCACATGACGTAAGATATCACACCCCCTGGACTGATTTTCAGAGGAGAGTGGCGGTGCCGAAAATGGCGTTAGGCGTTGGAACCTTGTCGTCGAGAGGTTTCCGAAACCGTATCGTTCGATCTATTCTTCCTCTTCGTCGTGGAGTAGTCGAGCTTTCAAAAATCGGTCCAGGGGGTGTGATATCTTACGTCGCCTACGGTCTTACCGGTCCGTGAAAGAGTCCATGAAACACGACGCGTAGTACTCGCTCCCGTCCCGAGAAACTCAGCCCTTCTCCGAACCCGCTTTTTAACCGGTTTGTGGAGTTTCACGCGAACGGCTACTCCGATTTGCTCATCGCAATGTTGTGACTGCGACGGTTTTTCCCGTGATCGTTTACCTGCTGGTATAGCCCAAGAAAGAAGGCACGTCACAGGCTTCACCAACTCGTTTGCCACCTCTTTTCTCCTCGTGAGATAAACCCCCATAGCCCACGCTCTTTTGTGCGGCGCCCATCTACCACCCTAAACGTATGGTGCTGAACACGTGGCACTATGTGGTGGACGGAGCAGCTCCACTTGTCGAGAAAAAAAATCCCCCAAAAGAAATGGTCCCCACCGGCTTTCTCAAAAACTTACACCCCATCGTTTTCGATGCCGCTGTTGTTGACGCTTGCAGAGGCGGGGCGACGTTCGAGAGCCTTAACCCAGCGACGGAGGAATTGATCTGCTCCTGCGCCAACGCGCAGGCGGAGGACGTGGACAAGGCCGTTGCCGCCGCTCGCGCATGGTGCGGAAAGAAGTCAGTTGTCCGGTCATGTGCATGGTGATACAGGAGTAGGGTTTGGCCATCATACGGTAGGGTCCGAAGGCGCAACCAGCTGCCGGCACACTTGTAACAGGCAGCCCCACATGCGTTTCACCGGAAAGAGATGTTTCCTGGTTATCCTTGACCCCCCCCCCTTTCGCACGCGCTATCTATCTATCTCTCGTTTGTCGTTTTCACCTGTAACTTGTTGATGCATCCAAGTTTCGAAGGTCCCAACTGGGGGTTTAAGAGCACCGGGGCACAGCGGGCCGCCTGCCTGCGGGCCATGGGCAAAGCCATCGAGGACGACAAAGATGTCAGTAAAACGTTAAAAACAACACGTGTTGTAGCCCACGTGACCACAGAACCATACCACAATGGTATCCTTGAGAACTGTGGCGCGGTGGGGCAGCTGTTGGTAAAGATGAACCATATCAAGGCGGCGTCCTGCAGTAGGGCCGTGCCAGTTGCACGTCGGTAGGGAGTTCGGCATGAAGATCTCGAGGACGAACATGGTGGTGTGGCTGGCGACATCGATTGAGGTACTCAATAAGGGCGTTGCGCTGTCGAAAAAAACACAACATAGACAACTGAAATGCTTGATCCCACTGGAAACACAGGCATTCGCCCGGCTCGAGTCGGAGGACTGCGGCAAGCCCATCAAGGAGTCTGTCGACGACATGGATCAAGCTGTAGAGGCCTTGAGGTGCGGTGCGTGGGCCCTGCCGACCGGTCTTGCGTGGTGGTGCAACACATGGTAAAACAGCAGTGTGTGCATACAACTCGAAAGCCGTGTAGGGTCATGAGGTGAAGAAAGCACGATGCCGCCCGTTCGCCCCTCCTTGGCCAGCCTCTGAACCAGGCATCCTTGTTCCACGGATAGCGCGGGCGTGAAAGGAAAGTGGAAGCGATGCTCGCGTCTCGAGAGGAACGCTCCACGAACGAGAAACTTTGACGAGGGGGGACAAGAAATGATTGAGCCGCTCCTCCGCCGCCGCCTTCGCGGAATCTTCCCCCGATTGCTCCAGGTTTTACGCAGACTTGGCGGAAAATCTCGGCGCGGAGGAACCGGAGGAGATCGCGGTACCGGACGACAGCTTCAGGACGCGGGTGGTGCGCGAGCCGATCGGGGTGATCGGGGCTATTACCCCGTGGAATTACCCGCTGCTCATGGCGGTGCAGAAGGTGGCGCCCGCTCTCGCCGCCGGCTGCACCGTCGTCCTGTAAGTCTCAGCAGACAGCGGGCCGTTTGTTGCGAACGCCAGCCGCCTCTCGACCGTGTTGTATTTGGGGTGCTATCGGTGACACGGCTGCTGCTTCTGCTGTTGGTGGCAGTTGTCTGGTATGGGGTTGGAGGGTGCCACTCATCCTGTCTAAACATGTCTTGTCGGCCGGTTTAATCAACACGCTACTTGTAGATATTCTTCATGGCTGATTTTTCGGTTGTCGGTGACGCCGCCGGATTCACATCGACGAGGCAGAGGATAAAACACTCCCAACAAACTCCAGCGTGGCTATGAATCTTGTCGGCCGATTTAATCGATATGCTGGGATATTCTTCGTCTCTGATTGTTCGTGGTCGGTGACGCCACCGGATTCCCATCGACGAGCGAGCCAGAGAATAGAACACTCGCGATAATACCAACACGGCTTTCAATCCGCACACACACACAACCCTCCCCTCCCCTCCTTCCCCTCCAAAACCCGCTGCACGTACGGCTATTCACCGTAGGAAACCCTCCGAGCTTGCCCCGCTTACGTGCGCCCGGATGGCCACTCTCGCGGAGGCGGCGGGGCTGCCGGCCGGCGCCTTGAACGTGCTCACGGGGGAAGGGTCTCCCGCGGGAGCATCGCTGTCGGCCCACCGCGGAGTGGACAAGGTGTCCTTCACGGGGTCAGTGCCGACGGGCCAGGTAACGTACTGCTGCTGCTGCTGTTGTTGTTGTTGTTGTCGTTGTATGTTGTTTTGGGAATGCTAGCATTTAGGGGTTGTTCTTCTTCTTGCCGTTTCGTTTTGCTTTTTGGGATGCTAGAATTGAGGGGTGACGATGACTGTAACCGCCATGGAGGCATGTGTGCCGAGTACATGGAGAGTTAGTATGGTGTTTCATGTAGATGGTGTTGCAGCAGCACCTTCGGGTTTCGTAGGACACCACACTTCCAGGACTAACCACCGATACCCTTGATGCACTCGCTTGCCGTCGATGACCATCCCGTCAGAAAGTAATGGCTGCCGCGGCGGGAGGTCCGGCGGGCGTCCATCTGGAGCTGGGGGGCAAGGGCGCCATGATTGTGTTCGATGACATCGAAGACATCGACGCAACCGTGGACTGGTGGGTGTGACTGCGCTTGCGAAGTATCCCTTGCGTACCCACGCACCGCATCGGTACGTCAATCTGAACCCCGGGCCATGTCTTGTTCTCTGATTTGTTGCAGAGGCTCGAGTGGTCTCCATCTCCGTGTGTTGAACTCCGTCCAATCGAACTTCATTCGAAACGACAGTAACTCAAAACATCGTCAACACAAGAACTCGAACGCCGTCTGGTCAGAGGCAAGAAACTGGAGGCAATTTTTTTCAAGAGTGTCCTGCTCCCATTACCCGTTTCTCGTATGTAGCAACAATTACCCCCGTTGTCGGGGCCGTATTTTTTTCCGTCCCCCCTCACCCTCTGTCGCTACACACCGAGCAGGATCTGCATGGGAATTTTCTTCAACTCCGGCCAGGTCTGCAGGTAAGGAACGATATGTCCCCGCTACACCCGCGATTAGCCTTGGCGAGGATATTTTAGCTTGGTTTTGATATTTTTGAGGTTGGTTTCAGTAGGGGTTACGGGTTGGGGTTGGGGTTGGGGGTTAGGGTCAGGGATAGAGATACGAAACCCCCCACTCTATTTCATTAATGAGTACTAAAACTCCTGGCGAAGGCGACCCTCGCTCACTCTATGTGGGCACACACGAAATACATGCCGGTCACACGGTGTGGTTGTTGCATGTTGCCGTACGCTAGGTTCTGCCAGGGGGCACAGAAGCGCTGGTTTTTGGCAACAATGATTGAATCGTACAGTGGAAAAGACTCTGTCGTCGGGCGAAGAGACGTGTCTTGAAAACGTAGGCACCGGAAAAGCGCTCAAGAGGATAACGCGACACAAATCACGCCGGTCGTGTCGACACTGGTGCCGTCCTCTTCTCTTGAGCGCCACGTCGCACCTCATACGGAAGAGGAACATCTACACACCCGACTCCCGCTCGCGAGTGTCGCAAGCTAACGTGGCGTGAGACCACGTGTCCTTGCTGATTTAAGAAGAGGATGTAAGAAGAGAAGAGACGGCAAGCTGGGGGCTTACATTTGAGGGGTACCAAGGCCGCTGGGTTATACCAGTGGTAGATGACAAGAGGACGAGAGAAAGAAGGAGCGACATTTGTCACACACACACACTGCTGCAGGTGCGGGTCGCGTCTGCCCCCCTCCCCGACCCCATAATTTCTATAACCGCCGTCGTTACTTCCTACGACGCTGTGCGCGCCTCATGAGCCACCCAGCGCCACGTCGCGCCTGCTGCTGCACAGCAAGATTCACGACAAGGTAGTGGCCAAGATTCTGGAGCGTGCGGCGAGCGTCACGGTCGGAGGTCCCCTGCGTGCTGACGACAAGGGGGCGGAGGGGGCTTGCATGGGGCCGCTGGTCAGCGGTCCCCAGAGGGACAAGGTTCTGGGGTTCATATCTAGGGTGAGGGGGGGGGAGGGGGAGTGAGTGTGGTACGCAGGAGGGATATGGAGATAGGTGGACGGAGGGAGAAGAAGAGCGTCTATCACCAGTCAGAGGATCGCGGTGAAGGGTAGAGAGGGTGGGTAGAGAGAGAGCGAGAGAGAGACAGAGACAGAGACAGACAGACAGACAGACAGACAGATGAGACGATAGTCACTGCTGTGGCACCTCGCTCTCTTTTCGGTCCTCGGCGACGAAAGGCGATGCAGGCGCAAAGAGGGCGACACGATACATTGCTTCTTGCTCTGCTCCTATCGCCAAGTACTTAGCAGAGACTGGCAACATTATAGTGCGAAAACAACAACAATATCAACAACAATAGCAACAACAACAACAACAACAACAACAATGTTAATGTTTGACCACAGGCTGTGGACGCCGGGGCCAAGGTTCTCTGCGGGGGGGGTCCCCCCCCCGACGCCGACGCCGCCTCCACCGATCGAAAGCCGGGAAAGGGCTACTACGTGTCCCCTACCGTGTTGACGGGCGTGAAGGAGACGGACGAGGCTTGGACCGCGGAGATCTTCGGGCCGGTGCTTTGCGTCCGGCAGTTCGAGGAGGAGGACGAGGCGTTGGCGGCAGCAAACAATTCGGAGTTCGGCCTTGCTGCCTCGGTTATGAGCGCCGACAAGGACAGGTGGAGAGACTATTTTTTGTTCGAGGACATTGATTGCTGGGGAGTTCTTGATCGTTGATCGTGCAGTATGACGCCCTACGGTAGTGGAGGTACTGTAGAAGTAGCTGGGCAGGAGCAGCAAGAACAGAACAAAGAGGTCGTCCTCGTAGTACTTGAGAGAATTCGGGGAGGGGGGCATAACCGTCCGTGTAGAAGTCGGCCTATTACGGTCTACCTCTTGTGGTGAGGTCTGGGCGCCGACAACGGGCATTGTGTGAAACGATCCACTCATCATGATGGTGTGGGTCATGTTGCGTGGCCGAAACGAACGAGTCTATCTTGTTAGACCCCAACCCCGCCCTTGCACCATCAAGAGACTACGCCACGCACGACTCTTGAGTACCCCTTCTGGCGAACGTTTGGTTAAATGGGATGTCCAATCAACCCATGGCATATCTGGTTTGACACAGCAAACGCAAGGATGATGAGCTGCTTCTGGTTCACCCTTGTGAAACGTACTAGCCTGTGCCGGCGAAAACCCGGCGTATCGCTTCGTCCCGGCATTGTGGGGATGCGAGGTCAACGGTCTAACGACTACGGCATGCGTACACGCCCCCCCCCCCCCCCCCCCCCCCCCCCCCCCCC